CGGCGTTTACGCGTTCCATCATTACATATAATAATAATAATAAAAAAAAAGAAAGAAAGAAAGAAAAGAGAGAAAAGAATAAAAAAAATGTGTGAGACCCACTGAATTTTTATAAAAACTCACCCGTTTCCTTTCGTTTCTTCATTCTTCGTGTGCGTGAGCTGAGACTGAAAGAGCGTCTAGTTTCACCGGTGCGGGAGATCTAAGTTTTTAAGGTAAGAGTTTTTAATAGGATATTTAGGGTGTGATTTTAAGCTTTTTAAGACTAAGTAAGTGTTCTAAAATTTTTTCTTAGTCATCCTTCTTCTTTGGTTTCTGATTTTGTAGTGGTAGAAAATTTAAGATCTGGAAGAGGGATGAATTTATGTTGAATAAATATGGTTTTTGAGGTTGTTAGTAGTATAATAAATATTCTAGAGTATAAATTTATTGGTGATCTTTGAATTTGTGGCTTATGGATCAAATTCTAGACTAGATTTGAAAATATATGTTGATTTATTGAGGTTTAGATGATTATTTGGGATGAGAAATGAATTATTATGGCTATAGGATTATGATTCTAAGCTAGAGACTTAATTTTTAATTTTTGGGTATTTTAGGTACGAATTTATGAAATAAAAAGAAAATTTTGATAATAAAAATTAATTTAGAAGTTGATTTTTAGATTATTAATGTTTATTGATAATTAAAAGAGGAGTTAAAAATTTTACTTAATAGTATTGACTCTAGATTTGTATTAAGATTGAGATTAGGAATTATGTTATATTTTTAATTCTATTATTAGAATTATTTTATTAGTTTTAAAAATTGAAACTAATATTTATAAATAATATGTTATTTGTAGATTGTATTACTGGTGAAAATTGTGGTGAGAGAGAAATTTTAAGGAATAATTTATTGAAAAAGCCACAAGGTAACCATGCTTTTAATTTGTGATTAGTGTTACTTCATGTTAATTGGGTGATTATTGAGAAAATTATGAATTTTTGTAATATTGTATAATTGTGCAATATTATTATGAATTTGTTTAATTATTATGGGAGGTGTTGGGAGACTTGCTATTATTGTTGTATTTATGTGCCACGTGGTACGCCCCTATTGGAGCTCAATAGGTGGCTTGTAAGGGCTCGGGCTAATCTACCTTTGGCCGGGTAATTTAGCACCGAGTGAGGGCTACGGCTCGAGGTTAATGGAGGGATATAATGATGGTTATTTGTGTGTATTGTAATATTTCTTATATTTGTTGGAATTATATTATTTTTAATTCTCACTTAGTAAGCACACACTTAACTGTTTGTATACACTATCATAAATTGGCTTTGGTTACTGGGACTTTTGAGTCTCATTATGTGGTTAACAATTTTCAGGAGAAGAGCCATGAGTGACACGTGGAGGAGTCCCAGAGGCTTAGTGGTATAGATCCACTGTCTCTTTTGGGTATTTAATTTATGATTTATAATGTGTTATATTGCCAATATTAGGACTTTTTTTTATTTATTGTCAATTATATGAATATATAAATGTAATCATGCCTTTCAAATTATTTCTATTTTTGGTACAATTTGGATGACTGTAATATTTAGTTTACTTTGTATTGGTTAAAATGGCATGATTATAAGGCCAAATAACTGGCTTGTGTTGAAAATTTATTAAATTGCTTATTTTACTTGTTGGGAGTATAAGGATGGACAAATGTGATTTAGTTTACTTGTTGGGAGTATAAGGATGGACAAATGTGATTTAACCTATTGGCATGTGGGAGGTAAAAATTTATCTGAAATGTTATAGTGTGTGAGTTGAAGCTAATTATAAAATATTTAATATTGAAATTATTGATATAAAAATGTGTTGGGTGGCTGTAACCCAACTATGGTTGAGTTAAATTATTTAAAAAAAAAATTTTGGTGTGTTACACCTCTAGTGTTGGCCCTTGTAGTTTTGGCCCCAATGGCTTCGATTCCTATAGTGCTGGCTCTTCTGCTATTAGCCTTTATGGTTGCGGCCCTGTAGTGTTGGCCCCTTGGTTGCGGCCCCTATGACTTCAGCCCTTGTGGCGCTAGCCCCTCTAGTGTTGGCCCTTGTAGTTCTGGCCCCTGTGGTTCCGGCCCCTCTAATGGTAGCCCTTGTGATTTCAACCCTGGTGACTTTGCTAGCTCTTGTGGCTCCGGCCCTTCTAGTACCAGCCCCAATGGATTTAACCTAATGGTGCTGGCCCCAATGGCTTCAGCCCTTGTGGCTCCAACCCCTATGGTGCTAGCCCCAATGGCTCTGGCCTCAATAGTATTAGCCCCAATGACTTCGGCCTTTATGTCTCCGGCCCCTTTGGTGCTAGCCCCAATAGCTCCGCCCTGTGTCGCTAGCCCCAATGGCTCTGGCCCTTTTGGCCGAACGGGCCTACTAGTAAATTAGACCTACCATTTATCTTTTGAGGGATGTTATGGCGGTTCTCATTATTGATTTTTTAGTCGAAGGGTACTTTGGAAAACTGCCCCTCGAGTCCATTTGTTCTTTGAAGGTGTAAGCCAATTGGAGTTTGCTCCTGTGATGATCTAGACAGCATAGCAGAGATGTTCCTTAACCCCTCCTTCAGAGTTTGCAACAAAGCTCTTTGCCTTTCATTAGCTCGTACTTCACGTTTTGCATGTGCAGCCATGTTCTTTGAGTCATAAGACTCAAGTCTATTCTTTCCAAAAAAAATCTTGATCCTTATGTGTCCTAAGCATTCCTTTCACACGAGTCTCACTAGGCGTGCCAAAAATTATTCATAAAAAACAGTCAATTAGATGTGGTGTCATGAGGTGTGCTAGAGACGCAAGGTGTCAAAAAGATAAAAGAACCTAACTTTTAATCAAACGCGAGGACTCAGACTCCCTTACCACAATTCACCGAGATGTGAGAATGCGAAGTAAAGAAAATAAATGTAAATGCAAGGAAGCAGAGATACATTAATTAAAGAAAAAGATGACGAGCTATGCTGGCCATACAACAAAAAAATAAAGACTAAAACTACTTGATAAAAAAAATAAAATAAAGCAACAAACGCAGAGTCTGAGACTGATAGTTTGTTGATGCTGATGATGATTATTGAGAGAGAGCTCCTCCATTTATAGATGATCCTGACTTGATGTCCAAGCCCCATGATCGCCACTTTCCTTAAATTTAGGAAGCACTTCCTCCATCATGGTCATTCATTATGGGTGATGGTCTTGACTTAATGGCCTAGACTTCATAAATATTTTTTTATATAATTATTTTAAAGCCAATTAAGTTGAGTTGGACGTGAGCCTCCAAATTCACAATTTGGTTGTAAACACATACAAAAATTATTTAATATGAGATTGATTAACATAGAAACAACTTTAAAGAAAAGAAAGAAGGGCCAAGAAAACTAAAATCGAACAAAAAAAAAAACAGAGACAAGAACGGAGTAGAAAAAAGGACCAAAAAGGAGAGGAGAAAGAAAGAAAAAAGGACAAGAAACATGTAAGGAAAAAAAAAAAAAAAACTCAAAACAGATAAGCCACCACAGCCAAGAGATATAAACCCCAGAAGACGAGAGCTTCTTCCCCTTTCGTGTCACCAAACTTGAGTAACAGTTTTCTTTTATGGTTGAATAATAACAGTAATCATAAAAACATAATAGATATTTAATATAACTAGACACGTATATATATAATTAGGTGGGTTCCTTGCATGGTATAGGATGCTATTTTGCATGCTTTTCTTTCCTTATTTTATTAATACTTTAATGCATAGTTTTAAAATTTTTTAAATAATTTAACATATATTTTAAAATAGTTTAATGTACACACACCATCACAAAAAGGATTTGTAAGTAAAATTTGTTAATTCATAAAAAAAACTTATTAAACATATCATCAATTTCAATGATTTGCTACGCTCATGCCCTTATTTGAAAATGTTTTTTTTTTTTAATACGGCTATTTGGGGCCAATCGAGGGTAATTTTTTTAAAGGTATTTTTTGTATGCATACAGATTCAAAATTGAGAACTTGTATCTAAGTGACCATCTAACAATCATTGGTCCCTCATTCATTTGTAATTTGCAAAATAAAAATTTGCAAGTAAAATTTATTAATTTGTGAAGTAAAATAATTTCCAAGTAAATGATATGAGCATTTGACAATTTTTTTCATAGTAAGTTAATAAATTTCACTTACTCACTCTGTTTAAAAATTTAAAGTATTTTTTAAAAAAATAGAAGTTAAAAAAATGCAAAGAACTTTTAGCATTTCCACGTGTAATTAATGTTTTATTTTAAAAAAATTAATTATTTAGTTCTTATAATTTTGATTCAATTATAACTCAGTTTTTAAACTTTGACTCATTATATTTTAATTCTTAAAGTTTTAACTTGATTGTAAATCAATCCCTAAAATTTATCTCTTGTAATTTAATTTATGAAGTTTCAATCTTTTAAATATTGGTCCTTACATTTTAAAAAATAAAATTATCAAGATTAAAAATATTTTAAAATTTATTACTAATATCTTAAATTACTAAACCCTTTTAATATTTATAAATATTAAAATTTTAAAATATTTTTAATTTTTATAATTTTACTAATATTTAAAAAATTAAAATTTCAGAGACTAAATTGTAAGAGGCAAAATTCAGAAATTGATTTACAATTGAGTAAAAACTTTAACGATTGAGTTATAATGAATTAAAGATTAAGAATTGGGTTACAACTGGCTCAAAACTATAAGAACCAAATGATTAATTTTTTCTTTTATTTTTTTTAAAAATGCACTTAATAAATAAATTATTTTATATTTATTTTTAAGTTAAACACTCTAGTAAATAAAGATAAATATAAAAATATAATATTAATTTAAAAATAATTAATTAATTTATTAGACATGGAAATTTGATTAAAAATTATTTATATATTTTTAAAAGGGGCGTATAAATTTTTACTTTGAAGGGTTACCAATTGTAAACCCTTTCAAATATTGCGTACGTTTATTTAATTTAAGGCAAAAGAAAAGGTCATGAACAGCCACTCCCTGCTCGCTCTCCACCGCATCCTCCCCAATCCCGTTGCTGCAGCAGAGAACGGCGCGGATGGCTGAAGTGCCTCAAAGTCATCCTTATGTACCAACGGACCTGATTCTACCTGGTTTCGTTCCGTGCTTCCTTTCTCAGTCTTCCATTATTGCAATTTATGGCGTCGCTTCCCTGGCCGTCGTCTCCTCCATCTGGATCTTCTCAGGTAGGAATGCCCATCTCACTTTCGGATTGCTTTATTTCTTTTCCATTGACTTCTTCAGGGTTTATTTGTCGATCCTTCTTGTTTATTACTCGCAATTTGTAAGTGAAATTGAAATTCTTCACTTCTAATAGTTTTACTCTCACTCAGATCTTTTTTTTTTTTTTAATCGCATTGTTTTCTTGTGAACTTACTTCAGTAATCAAATAAAATGCTTCAATTATGCTATCTGTTAATACTTTTGCTGTTGACGTGGGCATTGAATCGTCAAGATTGTTTATGTAATCGATTACAGAGTATGTTACATTAGGTTGACCGAATGCTGTACCTGAATGGCTGAATGATGAGTATTTCTAATCAGTGAAAATTATTACTGAATCTAGTGGATGTTGGGGAGTAGGAGCCGTGCAGTTCAAAATGCAGAATACGATAAAAATCGATAAAATGTTTTGTGATTAACTTTTCTCTCTAACTAGATCTTGGGCTGCATGCAGTGCAGAAGTGCACAATCCACGTTTTATGATCAGTACCACTCACAGTAATTTATTATATATATACATTGATTGATGATTGATATTTTAAACTTTATATTATTTTAATAAGTTCATGCCTGTGAGACTATTAGAATATCCTCTTCTCATGCAATTCAAATGGAATTACAGGACGTTGTTTTTTTGGCCAAGTAGATGTCGTTTGGATTAACATTGTGAATTACCGCAATTGTGTTGTTTAATGCATAACGTTTTGTTTTATTACTTCAAATTTATCCTACAAGAACTATGAATATTTGATTAGGAACCATTCTTACATGCAATGGACACACCGTAGACAGTATATGTTGCTATTTAAACTTTACATGGATCAACATGGCTCCACATTTTTATTCAAATATAAGTTTCTCTCATCTCCAATCAGTGGATCTGTTGTATGATATCTCATCTTTCTTTATACATTTGTCTTTTCCCAGGACGGCTGCCCAAGATAACAAAAACTGATAGACTGTTAATGTGCTGGTGGGCCTTCACAGGCCTTACACACTTGATTGTTGAGGGTTATTTTGTTTTCTCACCACAATTTTACCAGGATAAGACTGGTTGCTACCTGGCTGACGTTTGTAAGTCACACATAAATAGCATTATTAGCATTTGGACTTTGAAGTACCTTTCATGGATCAGTGTTTCTGTAGATAAATATTCTATATATCCAATTGACAGGGAAGGAATATAGCAAAGGGGATTCAAGGTATGCTGCGAGGGATGCAGGCGTTGTTGCTGTTGAAGGCATAACAGCAGTCTTAGAGGGTCCGGCTAGCCTTCTTGCGGTGTAAGTTGAACTATGTTATGACGCTTTCACTGAAATTTTCACACTTTGTCTGTGTTAATTCTATTTTTCACTTCTGTTAATATATTGCTACTGTCAATATGACTGCAGATATGCAATAGCTTGTGGAAAGTCATACAGCTACATGCTTCAGTTTGCCATCTCTCTGGGACAGCTGTACGGGGCTGTTGTTTATTTTATTACAGCAATATTGGAAGGTGATAACTTCTCCGCAAGCCAGTTTTACTACTTTGCATATTATATTGGAGCAAATGCTTCTTGGCTTGTAATACCCTCTCTTATTGCCGTTCGCTCTTGGAGGAAGACTAGTGCTGCATTTCAGGTCCTAGGACAGGCAAAAAAAGCAAAAGTTCGCTGATGCAGAGTGCAGATTATGTGCTCTAATGATCGTGTAATGTTTGATTATGTGTAGTGGGAAGCTTGAGACAGGAAAGAATGTTTTCAAGATAGAGCTTTAGATATTAAAAACTTTTCCGGACATCGGTAAGAACTGCAATGGTTCATTCTTAAGTTGCTTATCTTGAGAAAGAAATGTTTACGGCTGTTTTGCAGATGATGTCTGTTGAGTTTTAAACCCCAAATAGGAATATGGTGAATCGTTGCCTTTGCTGTGTCGAGCTAAAACTAGACATGTGAATTATTATCACGTGCAATGAAATAGTTCACGCTACACTATATATCAGAATTTGACATGTGGATATTGTGCTAACTTGTTTTCCATTTCTATAATAATAAAAGGAAATAAAAGGAACAACAAAAATATATATAGAGACGGAAAATTTGCCTTATTTTTATCACTCTTATTCTAAAGACTATTTATAATAAAAGATCTGTTTTTTTTTAAGAGTCCTGTAGATTTGTTTGGAGAATACTTTGTTTTGTTACATTATTGTCTTTCTTACATTGTAAATCTTCCTGCCTTTTACTTTGTTCCTTTCATAAATAACAGCCCTTTTTAATTATTAAATTATGTTGATTGTGTAATGTTTCACAAATACAAGCTTTTCTACCGAGAGTCTGAAAAATTCTTGGACAAGGTAAAAAGTATAGTAAAGAGTACGGAACACTCTCCTTCCTTGGAAAGCTCTCCCAAGGAGGCAAGGAGGAGCCGCCGCCACACCCAGGTGAAGAATGCTTCACCAAAAAAGTGAAACTTAGAGAAAACTAAGGTGAAGATGATGCCACGGACGCAAATTGCTCCGTTTCTTCTTCCGATGACGAGACTCAAATTTCTGCAACACTGGGCCCTGAAGTAGTTCCTGAAACGTAAGTAGTTAATGAAACCCTGACGTCTGTTGATGCAGGTCAGCAAACGCTAGTTGTCAAGGACAAACTGCTCAACGCTAGTAACAAAATTGAGGAGGAAGATGATGACATTAAGCTATGTCTGGGGGATGTGACTAACGGCATTCCTATGGTAAATTTCTCGGCTCAAGTTCTTGAAGCTTTGAACAAGAAAATGGGATCTGTGGTTGTCGTTAAACTTCTGGGAAAGAAGATAACTTACAGAAAATTGAGATCTCAGCTGCAATATGTCTGGAAGCCTTCGGGCCAGCTTCAGTTACCTGATTTAGACGAGGAAGGCTTTATAGTAAAGTTTAAAAAGGAACTTGATTTCCAGAAAGTGCTCCTTAATGGACCTTGGCTTGTTTTTGGTTGTTAGCTAACCGTTCAACCTTGGACGCCAGAGTTTAAACCTTAGGATTATGCTATTAAACAGGTAACCAGATGGGTGCATATGCCTGGTCTCTAATGTGTCCTAAACCAGAATCACAGCAAAGAGTAATAAATAAGACAACAACAGCAATTAATATGAGAGGAAAATACTTAGGTTTTGATATTAATGAGATGAATAACCGAATCAGATGTACATGGGAACTCTGATTCTGGCCCAAAACCCTATTTCCCCTAGAAGATGATAAAACACTCTAGCAACACAGATTACAAGCTTCAATACAAGAGTCTCACTCCCATTGGCATTCGAGAGGCCAATCTCTCCTTACTATTCCCGTCTCCTTCTTCTTAGCCCTCCCTTCCTAAACAAAAGACTAATAATACCTTCAGCGGCTGACACATCGCCCATACTACCCAAAAGATCCCAATCATTACAAAAGATCACAAAATACTGTTCCTTACGGCTATGGACTGAAGGGTAAACTTCTAGACTAGTTCAAGTATTTCCACTAGAGTTATTCTTCCCCTTTGACTTCCTCTGATATGTCTTAAGAAAATAACGGGCCCTATCAAAAGATGGAAGTTGGAGGTTTTGTGTTGATTATAGGGCCTTAAACAAAATTACAATCCCAGATAAATTTCCTATTCCAGCCATAGATGAACTATTGGATGAATTGAAGGGAGCCAAAATTTTCTCCAAGCTGGATTTGAAGTCTGGATACCACCAAATTCGGATTAAGGCTGGGGATGAACACAAAACAGCATTCAGAACACATGAAGGACATTATGAGTTTAAGGTGATGCCCTTTGGATTAACCAACGCTCCCTCAACATTCCAGTCCTTGATGAATGAGGTATTCAGGGAGTATTTACGCAAGTTTGTATTGGTATTTTTTGATGACATTCTCATATATAGTGATGACTTAACCACTCATTTAAAGCATTTGGAGAATGTATTTGCTATCTTAAAGGAAAATCAGCTTGTGATTAATTTGAAGAAATGTAGTTTCGTACAGCCTAAGATTGAATACTTGGGGCATCTGATATCAAGAGAAGGAGTTCAAGTTGATCCCGCTAAGATAGAGAGCATGGTGAAATGGCCAAAGCCTAAGAATGTGAAGTCTTTGAGGGGTTTCCTTAGGCTGACCGGGTACTATCGTCGATTTGTCAAGAACTATGGGAAGATTGCTAGCCCCCTTACTGATTTACTTAAAAAGGATTCTTTCAAGTGGTCAGTGGAAGCGGAAAAGGCATTTGAACAGCTCAAAACTGCCATGACTTCACTACCCGTGCTCGCAATGCCCGATTTTACCATTCCTTTTGAGCTTGAGACTGATGCGTCTGGTACCGGAATAGGGGCAGTTTTGATGTAATAAGGCAGACCAGTGGCATATTTTAGCTAAAAGCTCTCACATAGAGCCCATCAATGCTCTATTTATGAAAGCGAGCTCATGGCTATTGTTATGGCAGTTAAAAAATGGCGCCATTACCTTTGGGGGCATAAATTTATCATCCGTACAGATCAAAAAGCACTGAAGTACTTGCTGGAGCAGAGAGTGGTTGATGAGAACCAGCAGAAATGGGTGTCAAAATTAATGGGCTTCAAGTTTGAGATTATTTACAAGCTCGGAAAAGAGAATAGGGCTGCTGATGCCCTATTCAGACGAGAAGAATCACTAGAACTAATGGGGTTCTCATTATGGCAATATAATGATGTGGAAGAATAGGAGAAGGAGGTGCAAGCAGACCCGAAACTGAGCAAAATTCTATAGCAACTCCTAACTGATAAAACTGGGGTGGAAGGGTACAGCTTAGTTCATGGCTGCCTACACTATAAAGAGAGGTTAGTCTTACCAAAAAATTCCACCAGAATTCCCTTGTTATTGAAGGAATATCATAATTCTCCAATAGGGGGGCATTCGGGCTACTTACGCACCTACAAGAGGCTGTCCAATGTGGTGTATTGGGAAGGAATTAAAAGGAATGTTCAGCAATATGTGGCGAGTTGTGAGATTTGTCAAAAGAATAAATATCAAGCGCTAACTCCTGCTGGTCTGTTACAGCTGTTGACCATTCCTCAAAACATTTGGGAAGACATTAGCATGGATTTCATTACCGGGCTTCCTAAATCAAAAAGGTACGACACCATTCTAGTGGTAGTGGATAGACTCACCAAATATGCTCATTTTTTCACTCTTGCCCACCCTTTTTCTACAAAGGATGTTGCTGAAAAGTTTGTGAATGAGGTTGTGAAGTTGTATGGTTTCCCTAAAACCATAGTTTTAGATCGAGACAGAATTTTCATTAGCCAATTTTGGCAAGAATTGTTCAAGCAAGCTGGAACCCAACTTTGCCTTAGCTCATCGTATCATCCGGAAACGGATGGACAGACAGAAGTGTTAAATAGGAGTTTGGAGACTTACTTGCGCTGTTTTGCTAATGAAAAACCAACTCAATGGGCTAAATGGTTGTCTTGGGCGGAATATTGGTACAATACTTCATTCCACAGTGCGGCTGGCATGACACCTTTCAAGGCGGTATATGGTCGGGATCCACCTACATTTCTGAAATTTAGTGGCGAACCTTCAGTTGTGGAAGATGTGAATGAACAGATTCAAGCTCGAAATCAGATCATTGAACAATTAAGGGACAATTTAGCTAAGGCTCAAAGTAAAATGAAGGCGCAAGCTGATAAGCATCGCCGGGACGTGCAATTTGAGATTGGGGACTTTGTTTATGTGAAGCTTCGTCCTTATCAACTAAAGACCTTAGCCAAGAGGAGCAATGAGAAGCTCAGCCCACGTTTTTATGGACCTTTCAAGGTTCTTGAGAAGATCGGAACAGTGGCCTACAAGCTGGAACTTCCAACCACCGCCCGCATTCACCTCGTATTTCATGTTTCTCAGCTCAAGCAAACGGTTTCAGCTGCTATGGCACAGCCTACCATCCCTCCGATGCTTTCTAATGAGTTTGAATTACAAGTGCAGCCTCAAGATATTAGGAAGGTGCGCCGGCTTATGAATGGACAGCGAGAAGTGTTGGTTAAATGGCAAGGCTTACCTGAATTTGAGAACTCTTGGGAATGTGCAGAAACAATTTGCAAACAGTTTCCAACTTTTCCCCTTGAGGACAAGGTGGAGCTCTTAGGGGAGGGTGATGATAGGGCTCGTTCTTTTCTTAAGACATATCAGAGGAAGTCAAAGGGGAAGAATAACTCTAATGGAAATACTTGAACTAGTCTAAAAGTTTACCCTTCAGTCCATAGCCGTAAGGAACAGTATTTTGTGATCTTTTGTAATGATTGGGATCTTTTGGGTAGTATGGGCGATGTGTCAGCCACTGAAGGTATTAGTAGTCTTTTGTTTAAGAAGGGAGGGCTAAGAAGAAGGAGACGGGAATAGTAAGGAGAGATTGGCCTCTCGAATGCTAATGAGAGTGAGACTCTTGTATTGAAGCTTGTAATCTGTGTTGCTAGAGTGTTTTATCATCTTCTAGGGGAAATAGGGTTTTGGGCCAGAATCAGAGTTCCTATGTACATCTGATTCGGTTATTCATCTCATTAATATCAAAACCTAAGTATGATCACAAAATACTGTTCCTTACGGCTATGGATTGAAGGGTAAACTTCTAGACTAGTTCAAGTATTTCCACTAGAGTTATTCTTCCCCTTTGACTTCCTCTGATATGTCTTAAGAAAATAACGGGCCCTATCATCTTTCTTCCTGACCAACAACACTGGACTTGAGTAGGGGCTGTTGCTTGGCTGAATAATTCCAGCCTGTAACATGTCCTTCACCAAACCTTCTATTTCGTTTTTTTACATATGGGGGTATCGATAGGGCCTTATGTTCGGTGGCTGCTCTCCAGGTTTAATAAG